ACTTAATTAATTACTTTTTATATTATTTTAAGTTGAGAAAAAAAAAGAACTTTTTTTTCTTGTTTGACTTTTTTGATGGTTGATTTATCTTCAGATACGTTTGAAGTTAATGATATTCTCACATTTATTGATCAGTCTCATATTTTTGAGTACGCAGATGTATTTAAATATTTTATCCCTTCTAAATCAGTTTATGAAGAAATACCATCAAACACCTTATTATTTCTCGTCATGTGGAAAAATTTTTCTATTCTTCGTTCTACATGGGTTTCACGTGAAGAAATAGAAGGAAATTCTCGACTTGATCCAGATAATGTATTTAAGAAATTTATTGATCAAAATACAATTGATGGGATTTTATATCAACCTCGTTTAACTAAAATTATTCCTGCTCGTGATTTAGTTCCTGAAAAAATCTTATCATCATGTTATGATGAAACAGCTACAGAAATGTTTACTGTTAAATGGAAGTATTGTGGGAACATTTTCTTATCCACTGAAGAACCAAGTTTTTTTAATAATCCTCGTTATAATATGCTCATCCCTCAATATAGAAATAAAGTTGAAAAAATTAAACCACTTTCTAGTCTTTCTGAAGTACCAACATTAAATATAGAAACTATAAGCCCTGAGTACAAAGAAGAAGTAGAGATATGTAATAATGTATTTGAAAAATTGCATAAAAATCATGGATGTTGGATCAAAAAAATAGGAGAAACTGATGGAGAATTATTTGTTTCACATAAATTAAAAATAACAATATTAAAGTATATGAAATTATTAATGGACAATGATATTAAAGGACCTCATTTAATTGTTACAGATGAAGTTGGAATAGATTTTTATAAAGAGAATATAGAAAAATTTATTCCAAATGCATATGTTACTTTTATTAATAAAATACCTAAAGAAGAAGATATGAAAGAAGTTTTAGATAATGAATTATATCATACAGAAACTGATTGTTTAAAGTGTTCATTTGTAGTTACTACAACATTAGCATTTCAATTTCGAGTTAATGTTGAATTTGATATTGCTATTGTTGACACAGAACCAACATTATTTTTTAATTCTAAATATTATATTAAAGAACATACATTTTTATTATTATACAATGGAGCATTTGATGAAGCTATAATTAAAAATCATTGTAGACGAAGAAAAATTAAAGAATTACAAATATTTGAATATAATATGTTTTCATATTTTATTAGATATGTTGATGTTTATTTAAATATTCATCAAATACAAAAACCAATATACAATGATTTAATTACAATAGCAAAAAGTTGTAATAATGAACAAACAGGAGTTATATTAAATGAAATAAAAAAATTACTTATTTATCCAAAAATGTTTGATACAAATTTAAAAACTCAAGGAACAAAAGTTGATTTTATATTAAAATGTATTAAAATAATTGGAAGTATTCCAGGAATTAAATTAGCAGTATTAGGAGATTATGATATGCCATTAAGATATATTTCTAAAATAACAAGATCAAATTATATTGATTGGAACATTGATATTAAAAAAACTAAAGCAATTTGTGAAATTATGAAATGTTCTTCTGAAAAAAATGCTGAACAAGTTAAAGATTTATTTGAAAAAGAATTAAATAATGATAATACTAGAAAATCACCAATTACTTTAAGTGGAAATTCAAGAGTTGTTTGTGTTCATAATTCATGTATTTCAACTGAAATTGATTTAAGTTGTATTGATATTGTAATTGATATGAGTAATGATTATACTCCATTATTTGAAACAAATATTCGTAATAAATATATGATGGCTACAGTAAAACAAATTATTGCATTTGATATGTCAATTAAAAATACTATTGATGAAATTACTTCTTCAATGAATGAATTAGATGAAACTTTAACACTTTCTCAAGAATTACAAGTTTATAGAAATTTAATAAAATATAATTCATATCGTTTTGGTTATAAAGGAAAATCTAGATCAATTAAATTTGGAAAATTAGGTCAAGAAATTTTAAAATATGGAACAGAATATGAACAATTACAACTTGTTATTGAAGTAATGAAAGATGATATAGAAATTATTAGTAATTTTGAAAAAAATGGATTTATTTCTATTAATGATATTAATAAGGAAATTAACATTCAAAATCAACAACAATCAAAACTTCAAAATTTACCAAAAACATTAAAATTACCTGTAACAATTGAACATTCTTCTAAAAAAACTCCTTCACTTAAATTGTCTCCTCCTACTATATTTAATAAAGAACGATTGTCTCAAAAATATCCAGAACAATTCAATTCTGAAAATAAATTAGTTAAAATTATTTATCTTGATAAAAGTATAAATGATACTAAACAAAATTCTTTAAAACAACAACCTGAAATTCCAATTGGAAAATTAGAAGTTATTAATGATCTATCAGATTCTAATACTATGGAGGAAGAAGAACCTATAATAAATCCTAATTTAATTAATATTATTAAAGAACGTAGTCAATTAATTCAACAAGATAAAGCAATACAATGGATCAAATCACTTACTTCAGCTATAAAACGTTATGGTAGGGATTTACGTTTATGGAAAATTGATTTTACTCAATTTATTCCATTAACTAAAGTTCAATTACAGTATATAGTTGATAAATTATTAACTACTCTTCCTCCTATTGATCCACAATTAACTAAAATGGCAAATATTATGGAAACATTTACAAAAGCAAATAATTTTGTTTCTAAAAAGAAAGCTTTATTACCTTATCCAGAATGTTCATTAAAATTTTGGGATTGTTCATGTGATATTGAATTACTTCAATTAATAATAGAAAATGGACTAAATGTTCCTGAATTATATTTAAATGATATTATTATTAGAAGTGTATTAGAAATATCAGGATTATTAACAGAAAAACAAAAATGTGAATTTTTAAAAATCCGAATTGATAAGTTATATAAATGCTATTCTATTTGTCAATTTAAT